TAACTTTAAGATAGGTGATAATGTTTTTCATCACACTATCGATTTGGAAAGGTAATCTTTAGTGTTTGAGGGTGAACCAGAAAATAGTCAACTAAGAATAGGAACATGGGAGATCAATTCGCTATGTAAAGTAACACGGAACTGACGTGACGACCAGAGGCAGTCGGATCAACCTTACCACACAAACAAATCGTGACATGAACGAACTTGTTAGTAACAGGCAGATTTTTGTGTGATAGAAAAAAACTAGAATATTGGTGTGGAATGCTGGAAGGAGTAATTCATATGATCATCATTTTTCTATTTTTATTTGTGAAAACATTATATTTATGCATGACATGTAAAACGGCAGTAACTTAGAGCGTACTGATTCTTACATGTTTCTTCGTCTCTTTTCTGCCTATCAATAATACCATGAAATTTACTAGCTTTCATTCAGCTGTGTTTGGTGATATATATACATTTACTTATTTTTAATGAAAGAACGGCGATGTCCATTTCTTTCTATAGCAATAGAACATATTTAAACCAAAATTTCACTATTTATTATAATCTCTCACGGAAGAAATTAAAGTCATGGCTAAACTACGTTAATATGATAATTTCGTTACATATAAAATGTTTAAAACGTAGTCTTGGTTGAAAGCTATTTTCTGTTTGTCTTAAAATAAACGTATTAAACTATGTTGTAGTTCACACGGAAGGACTTACGCAAGTCAAACAATCTTGTCTTGAAAACAGAGAGGGCCTGATATCTTACCGAAACCTTCTCTTCACCAGATTTTCTCTCCATTTTTCTAATTCGTTATAGGACGATTAGGTTGGTTTAACTGTCGAAAGCTGGTTCGTAATTTCCATAATCTTTCCGTTAGGTGGTTAAGGTAAAATATGCGAAACCTGAAAAAGTTGTCCATTCTAATATTGTTGTGAATATTGCTGGTGCTTTGTAATAATTCTTTTACACTTGTTAGGTGGCGAGGCCGTGTAGGGAAGACTGTGTCCTATCAATCATCTCAAGGTTTCACAAGAGGATTCCTATATACTGCATTGATATCCCTAGGTGTTCTTCATCAATCAGGCCTATGTCTGGTCACCACGAGATATACCATGGTCAAAACTAATACTCACAAGCAGACAGAATGGCGTCTGTGGAAAGTGATGTAAGTGATGGAAGATAATTCTAACTGCCTTTTGATGAACATGTATTTAGTTACTTGATAAGTGTTTAAAAATAAAATCATCATTAGTAAACAAATAAAGTCTTTCTGGTGCATTTTCTGTATACGTCTCCATATCAATGCGCACGAGGCTGTATTGCCTAGATACATATGTATATTACACTGGACAGACCAATATCACACAGACGGAAAGTAGATAGAGAATTCAAACGATCTGCTGGAAAACCAACCACCGTTGTTGAGTCAACGCCTAGTAACAGCGAGAATTATGGAGACTGTTACCAGCCAACGACCTGAATTTATACAGTTTCCAAAATAAACATCTTTCGGAATTTACATGTGTTCTTTCTTTCGTTTAAGCTTATATGGTTGAATTTGCACACCATTTCCTATACCGACTATTTAATACACACCTGGCCTTATACACTAACGGAATAATGTTCGTCTTCCCACTAAACTACGATATCATGTTTAATCTTGTGTACCGGGGACGTTATATACACAATTTAACTTGACGATTCGACGATCTTTACTCGGGAGGTTTGTCGGCCAGGATGCTGAGAGAATGTCTCTACTATGCCCTTATGGTTGTGTTCAAAGTTTAAACACTTCAGCCCATTTGTTTTGGTTAGCATAACCTCTTGTATGTTGTGCACTGTAGAAGTAAAAACAATAATTATAAAAATGTTAACGGAATCTTAATTCAAATTTATTCAAAGTAACTTGTCCAAATTAAATAGATTTACATGGTGACTCCTAATTGAAAGTACAATAATACCTGGTGTTCTGAAAGGCTAAGCGTCTTCAGCGTCATCAACGAAACCAGCGTGACAATTTTATCCAGGTAAGTAAAGGTATCAGGAAAGGTCGGCAGGACCATTGTAAACAAGAACGGTACTATCAGGTATACTAACGACCAATTTCATCAAGAATGAAATATTCCCCTATGAGATAATCATGACGACTTTATAACTTCCTCATTTTCTTCATCAACCTGCATCTCGCGAAAACTTGAATTGTGAGAGTATTTGTGAGCTGTAGACATCTTGCACGAGACTCGAAATACTACAAGAACACACTATCTCAAACTGGTTCTTGTTTTTTTCCCTTTTTTGTTTTGTTTTATTTGTGAGATAAACTCCAACAAAGTACGTATCGGGTACATTGTAGACAAAAGCTGCATTAGGTCATTCTGTGGTTACTTTTATCTCTGATTATTATTTTGTCAGATTGTGTGCGTTGATTTTGAAATAAGCCATGTTAGTATAAATGTGAGCAGGTGGTGACGTGTGCACTGCTATACAGTACAAATATTTCCTGATCAATATAAGTTTATAAATACATTCTTGCTACAAAGTACATCTGCAAGAGTGTGACTAGAGTACTACGCGAACGGGTTATGTAGTCATGCATGACAGCTATTTGTTTGGCATCGGTTGAAGGAAATGATTATCTCTTCTTCCCTACCGCATACACACTTATTAAGTATACAATCGCACTGGAAATTGTACCAATATCTACTTTAAACACAATTATACTGTAGCTGCACGTGGTCGACCGATACTGATTCACGTGCTGCGCGTACTTTGAGCAATGTGGTTAGATATTTCACCTCGTTCTGTTACATTTAAATCTGCAACACATCAAACGCAAGGCTGAAAGAAGAGCACCTGTTCGTTGCAGATTGAAATCGTTACAACAAAAAGTTCCCTTGCACTTTTGAACTGAAATGTACAATGAAGGCGGTACATTTTTTTTCTTTAGAAGCGAAACCTCCCTCCTCATAAAAACGTTTTATATATTGATTTAGTACTAAACCAGGAACCCCTAGTGTGTAGTTAATATACATGCTAACTAGGTTTATTACTTTTCCTATGCGTGCTAGGTTTGTATTTAATAAAATAGATATTTGACATTTTATTACACCAAAACTCTTTGTTGCCAATTAAGATGACTGAAGATATTAATGCCACATACAGTTTAAGGCCGATTCTACTATTTCCGGTCATTTACAGAATTTCTCGGGCCTTCGTCCTAAAACGAATTATGCTGTTTAAAATTTGAAATGAAAGTAAAAATTGAAACACTCTGAGAGAGATGTAAAAGCTGATAATTCGTTCTCTGTAATCACTATCGGATATTTCGGCTTGAACATATCCAGGTTTGCTTGATAACTAGACCTTAGAATGATACAATATTTTACGAAATACTCGCCAGTCATGCTTCTCTTTGTATCATCGATTCATTATAAGGATACCGACCTCCATTGATCATATTGGATTTTATTCTTTGGTGATGTTATTGTTCTAAATGAAACTTGTAGATCTATAGACTAACAAAGCTGCTGTCGGCGATGAAACGGTAGACGCTTAATACTAGTGCTTTTCTTCTTGAATTGTCTTCAATAATCATTGTGAAAATTATATATTTGTTGTCATTTTTCTGTTTCAATAAAGCTGTGTTAACATGTCGATATTCTCTTGTCGTCATTGAAATAATCCCACTTCATACTTTCGGATAAGTCAGCGATTCTTGTTGAATGATTTAAATTAAATCTTCTGCCAGTCATTTTCACCAAACAAGGTTGTCATGTTATCACAACTTAAAGATTTTTTTGTGTAAACATTCCTTCCGTCACTTGTCATCGTAGATTACTATCATTGCATTTTTCGTGACGTAACTTCTTTTATAAGTAACGCACAAAACCTCCTGACTGATGTCAATATCCGGACATCTTAAATATCTACATCATGCTACTTTACGTAAAGTTTTATAGTAAGTATATATTGGGATTATTTTCATATCGTGTGACAGAGTATAATATTTTTTAAAAGAATGGTTCCTTATCCTTCTCAACATAAACCACAGAGACCTCTCTACTTGTCAGTACGAACTGTATGTGCTAAGGGTGGTAACTCCCAGTTGCTAATCGCAGAATATTCGATTTTTACGATTTCACAATGGATAGACTTCGAAAAAGACCCGAACAAAATCCATAATTTGAAATGAAACACTTTACCCCATGAACAAATCTAAAAATCAAAATCACTTATGGTTTGTCGTGTGATATACAAATATGTCCGATAATTAACAGTAGAACTATATCGATATATAAATATGTCAACCAGAAATAACATGCTATATTGTTGCAATCAGTGTGTCTTGGTTTGTCCTGAGCTCCAAACAGGTATGTAATCATTTAAAACACTGATATAAGAATGAGAATGAAAATATTGTCTTACTCGGAAACGTACTTAAATAACATTTTCAAACGAGTAATATGTTAAAATGTAATTCTCGAAATACAAATGTATAATTATTAACAAGTAAGTTAATGAGTATTTTATTTCTTCCATGTTTGTTGAGTTTTTATTGCTTTTTTAAAAGTCTATCGTATGCTGTTAGTGTTGACTGTCATTTTGGTTTTTATTCCAGCGTAAGAGCGCTCTAGCACTTCCATCAATGTCAACACACGTCAACATGGATTATTAATACAATTTAAGATAACTTGTTTAACGATATTGTTCTAAACTAGACAGTAATTTGTAGATGCTATTTGTATAGCTATGTTTATGATTGGTAGATGTTTGTATTTAGAAACTGTATGTTTATAAGGAGAAATTTAAAAAAAAATAAGTCTTTGCATCATTTACTGACATTTAAAAACATTTATTTATATGAAAATATGAGTTTTCTGTGACTGTTTTGGTGTTACTTGTCATATGTCAGAAATAAAAACAATTTATTTCCCATCTTTATTTTTATTTTTTATCAGTGTAACTATAAAATGGATATGAAATTGTTTATATATTATACATTATACTACGTTTGTTTTGTGGGGTTGACTTGGGGAACCCCTGGTAGTATTCCGCTATTACAGACGAGGCGCTCACAACAACCGTTCGGATCCTTTTCTAGGTGACACTCGGAAGGCGTTGAGGTCCATCGTGGGCATCTATTGGTTACAAGACGAGAGGGATAAGTATCAAATCCACAAAAATTAAATGGTGGTTAATCAATCCATCAAACTATCATGCTAATGTTGTTTAACTTGTCTTCAACTATTAATGAAAATTAACTTTGCAGTATTACACAAATACTCAAAAGATGATAAACCATGGTTTTACATTAACGCGAAAACACAAAGTTTCTGTCCACGTTCTATAGTACGGACAAGCGAATTGTCAAATTTTCGAGGCAACTTGCCCCTTTATCAAGACACAAATATTACATGAATTACATCACCTACACAGAACATAAAACAAATACATAGTTATCAATTTAGATCGAGAGCGGTTGTGTAAATTATGGTGTCGCGATAATGCCTTCGACCGATGGAAGCCGGAGGCCCTTTATAGCGGATAAAAAACCATCCCAAGTTGTTGTATGGAAGATGGTGATTAAAATACAAAAAAATGTTTTATATCAATCTCGGAATGTTTTGCACTGTAGACACTAAGCGCATATATGATTGCATGTCACACTCCGTGGAAAGTAGTCTACCGGTACATCTCGGCCACATTGCATTGTTTTATTATAAATAATCATAATTTATTGTAAAAAGTTGTAAACTGTATATGCAGTTACAATAAAAAGTGATTTGATGAAAAAAAACACCAGTTAAATGCTCTCTCTCTCTCTCTCTCTCTCTCTCTCTCTCTCTCTCTCTCTATATATATATATATATATATATATATATATATGTGTGTGTGTGTGTGTGTTTTCTTATACAAGTAAACTTTATTTTCCGGTCATGCACAACATGTTTATTATGTCTTCAAATCATTACAACTCGCGGTGATATTTTATATTTTGATATGTCTCGAGCTAGGAAATGCATCTCTTTAATAGAAATCTTATTTGCATCATGCGATTGGTTATCGATCTGATGTTTCTTTATTGTACTGGCTCACCAGCTAAAACATGGTTATATATCGAGAGAATAACTTTGAACTGTACTTATTTCTGAAGGTATTGAAGTGTGATTTGATTAAATCATACTTACATATCTGTGCACACGACTGTGTTCCTTATGTTGTCCAGACATGTACATCTGACATCACATCCATCTGTATAGGTCTCAGTGAGGTTAAGATATTGGGTCTTGTATTGACAGAATCCTGTTACAAAATAAGTAAATTCCGTCTTATGTCTGCGTCTTTAAAAATAATGACATCAAAGGAGGCTGCTTCATGATTTCCAGACACACATAGAAACTATCTTAAGTTCTTGCAATATATATCTATGACATCAATAATAACAAATGGATAAATAAACACCATTAGTGTTACATTGGCGATATGTAAGTAGAGTTGGAGAAGACGGCCATAAGTAGGAAGTGGTGACAAAGCTTCAGATCAAAAGCGTCAATTAAAGGAAGAGAAATGATGTGTAAGTTATCAGAACAAGCTAGATCTCTCTGACGTCAATATACTTTTCTAAAAATCTTGAATGAACGATTTGTCTATGTCTTATAAGGTACTTCTGTGTTATATTGAGAACGTTTGTCGAAACAACATGATTTAAATTGTTTTGAAATGACTACGAAAAAACAGCACGATGAGTTTACGGCTAAACCTATGTAGGCAAATGTAGTGTTATTGATGACCTCGACTTGTACAGTATCGTTACAGTGCCTAAAGATTTGACTATAAGCATGGTATCAATACTTTATATTAGTGATTAGAAATATATCATTTCCATTAGAGATGCTGCTACATCGATCTTAAAATCAAAACCAACCACAACCCAACGTAAACCAGTTTTGAGTATAAAATGCCGATAAGAGCAGATTGAGGTTGTTGCGCTGGAGTCCAAGGGAGGACCTCAAGTGAGAAAATCAAGATTATTTATATTGAAATTGATAACGAACTCCAATAAATATCATTATATGATAATACTATTTACCAATACAAGCATGATCGACGCAAACGCATGTAAACTATTGCACGATATTTTTATCAGACAAACGAACGACTAACGCCATAACACCAGATGCATCTTACACGTATGTTTGAGGGAAACAAGGAAAACTGACTTACCAGGCTTGTCCGAAGGAGGTCCCTCGTATGTATGTGACAAAAGCTGTGAGGCGGCAGTTAAGTTTCCGGATGTTGGAGCAAGATTCGATTGTTTTGAAGGAGCAAACGGTTGTGTTACAGCTGTGTTGAAGAAAGACGGACATAAATAAATACGATGTTTTCTACCAAATAGACTTTGTGTACAGACGGATAAGAACTGTGATGTGGTATAAAATTCGAAACGAGGAAACAAATATCTGCTGGCAGAACATTCCTTTTTAAAGCGATTTCTGAACTCAGTCGTGAAATTAGTTAGACGGTTAGACAACCGTCAAAAATATTTATACTGCAAGGATACTACAGCAATGGCGAAATTAAACAAAATACATTTTTCACTGCAGATTTAGAATGAATACAGTAGAGCCAAATACTAAGATAGACCACATCATAGGGCTGTGCTTTTAGCGCTCATCAGTGATGCTAAGTACTTGCATTGTTGAAACCAATGAAGCGACACAGGAAAATCTGTGTAGGTCTCATAATATAAAAACTACATAAAGCAGATAATTGGAAGCCCTATCTCTAAATTCAGTCGATTACATATTTTTCGATAAGATATTTAAAAAAGTGAAGATCCGTTTATTCTGAAACATGTTACCACATGGATGAATGAAAACTTTGCATACAGGTTACGGCAAATCTCAGGGACTACAAGTCCAGCACTGTTCACTAAACAACAGTAATATAACACCTTTCAATACAAACTAAATGGAAGATGTCATCATTTAACTTTTTTATATAAAGTCCAAGTTTTGTAAAATCACAAAAGTTTTAAAATATCGTTCTTGTGTTCAGTGAATTCCCCGTACCAAATTATGTAAAACATACATTTACTAATCCCTTTAAGATTGTGTCTGAACTTTAAAATCGGTGATAATGAACAATTTCATGTTTGGAAGTATATTTGCTGGTAGTGGAATACCAAACAGGACACTACTGTCTCATCTCTTGGCCTACATAGCTTTGGTTCCATTTGAGGTTGGATTTTTTGCATGAAAAAAGAAAGTGCGTTATAGGGTTTTCTTAACGGAAGCAGATAATGTCAGAAAGGAAGATTTGTTGACAATTTCACACAAAAAGGAACGTGGCAACAAAGGAAATGTTTTATATTTCAACAAAGAAAGAAAATGATAGGTCAACCAATACGGAACCGCGTTATTCATTCCAGTAAACGGAAGGGGATGATAAGGAATGACACTTACAATGAATATATATTCAAATATAAGATGTAAACATACCGGTACCAGTAGTATTCCCGGATCCAGGAACACTTGATGGTCGCACGGGAGCTGTGAGACAAATAATACAGTCGTACAGTACATGTATATACATAATTAAAACACAATGATTCTATTTATCGATAACTTGACATTCATATTTATTCAGAGATAAAGGATGGTAATAAAAATAACAACATTCTATGGTTTTCATGACGATCTCAATTTCCTTTATAAATAAAATTGTATTCCACTATATATTAAGCAATTTGCTGTCGACATACAGAAGGACTTCCACTCGTTGCAAACGCTCTTACGTTGGAACCTATTCTATTTTCTTCCATGATAAAAAGTTTAATGTGTCTAATGATAGTTAATGTTAAGTGTCATTTGGAGACATACTATGTAATTCCACAAAGGAATTTGTATACTTTTATGCTACATACCTCCACATAAGCTGCAAAACGATTTACAGTTTTCCCTGGCGAAGCCTTCATAAGTTGTACACAAATCCTCTCCGTATTCCTTACAAAGAGGATCCTTGTCTGCGCAAGCCTCTAGTTTACCTGATGAATCAAATTTATTTGTAACAACACTTGAACTTTGAACACTTTCCTCTTATTCATCAATCGCTTACCTAGATTTATTTTACAACGACACTAACAGGGACAACTTTCGCCCTGGTGCATAATTAACGTAATGATTTCATTTTATCTATTGTGAATTTCCATGTCTGGATGTGCTTGTTCCCAGCATCACGATTTTCGTTCAAGATGTCGGCAATCTGCAGGGACAATCATAGCAAAGTTTGGAGTGATGCAAGTTGATGAAAACTATGAGTATTTTTTATGAATGATCTCAGTGAGAAATATTTTATTTCTTTGTGTAATATGAAGGTGGACATGTTTTATGCTCGTTAGTAAACCTAATTGTTCTGCTGTTGTTGCTAACACGGATTAATAAAGATTTACATCGCGGGTGTAGTCGATAAAGCAGAAGACGTTTATCCTTCCGAACACCTGGTCGTATTGTCCTTGCCTTATTTAGGATTAAGTTTGATATTGTCTATCAAATTTATATCAGTTTCACAAATACATCCAACAAATAGTTATTAAATTGAAGAGTGATATTACATAACACTGCGACAGACTGGAACAATAAAATTTAGAATACAGGTTTGTATAGATAAAGAAATGAAAAGGAAACACTGCAATCAGCCGTTACTAATGAGCGACAAATTCTTAATAATATGTCGAGATAAATTCAAATGTCCCCATAAAATGAGGCAGGCACAAACCCAAACAGTCCAGACGCGCACAATCCTGTGTCTGATCAAAACACTTGACCGAATTCTGAATCACGATTTGTATATCAAAAAGTAAATGAAAGGAAAAAAGACGTCCAGTACCGGTAACGAAAATTAACACAAAAACTCTTATCTGAATCCAGTATATGAGAACTTCTAGGAAATTAGTATTTAGAAGTAAATAGTCATTTATAGTCGAAAGTGAGTTAAGGAGGAACTGTCCTTGAATGTTATAAACGAGGACAGTGGAGGAAGAAGCGAGTACATTCCCTTACAGGATGATCACAATTACTGGCAGGGGTGTTAACTACATATGTAGATGAAAATTAATAGAATCTGATTTCAAATAACTAGCAGATTTTATAACGCTAAGGACGTCATTGTGGGAAACCGACAAGAGCGATATACATTTAGACATACATTTAGTGAGGGACTGGTGTCATACTGGTAGAGTTACATCAAAAAGTCTATAGTCTCGAAGAGAATAATGATAATGTTATTATTTATAAAAGGCTGTTGTTGAAAATCCTAAAAAAATGTTTGATGCAAATGTCTTGGTTTCATATTCAATTTGATATGATCAATATTATATTCTATTTCACCGACATATGACAAAATGAATAAACACTCCAATGTCAGGTAACCAGGTTAAGACGTTCATGATTAATCTTCCCAATGTCATGTTACCGGGTTAAACATGTTTGATTAACCCTCTTAAGGTCATGTTACCTTTGACAAACTATGCCAATCGCTCTATTAGATATAAACAGCCTCTAATAAATTTACCAATTACATTCCTTAGAGCCTTGATTAGGACAACTAACGTAAGGAAGCACTAAAACATAGAATTCAGTGCGAAACCACGCTTAATACATAAAACATCTTCATGTTACCTGGACAATATCCACAACGGAGAGCACAGTTACGTCTCGCCCAGGCTTCATAATCACCGAAACATGAGCTATCTGGGAAGTAATCACAGTCGGTTCTGATGTTTCTGCAGTCAGTTAATAAACCTGAAAACGATACATATAGTATCATATTAAGCTTGAACTTACGTTGATGAATTAAAACATCTCCAGTAGAACACGGAAATAAAGTTATCTGTTCAGAGCATCAACATTGTTAAATATCATACGTATTTTATTGGTCTCTTTTGGGGACAGAAAATATCAAAGACAATGTATAACGTACAATTGAAAATTCAAAACACTTACTCTGCATGATGGGATCTAGAGTGGTGCTAGGAGCTTGAGTGGTTGGTGGAGCAATAGGATCTATAAAATACACCAACATGAAATAAGTATTTTGTACAAAGGAACAAATTAAGAATCAAATGCATTAGAATCAAGTGACATAATAAACTGCATCAAACAGCTATTTCGTCCCTCTGTGACTCGTCGTTGCTGAACAAACAACATTTGTCTAGATAAGTTAGCCGTTCTGTAAAAAATAGACACCATGGCTTATGGCGAAAAGAAAAACTGAAAATAACAGAATATGTTGGCAGAAATCATTTCAAATCTATAATCATCATAATTTTTCAGTTGCTTACTATTGCAATCTCTTAATCTACTCCAACCGTTAGAAAGAACAGAAATAAAATGAAATAATGAAAATGCAAATCATATGTCACAAAGGATTAACTTAGTAATGAACATACTTACTGTCACACAGTTTACAGAAAGCTCGGCAGTTGTCCTCTCTGAAAATCTTAAAGATGGGATTGGTACACAAGTCATCGTTGTACTCATTACAATTTGACAAGGTGTCCTGACATGGAGGAGGTGTTGTAGGGGCTGTAACATTCACAAAAAAAGTTCATTGACTACGATCAGAAGTATGAGATACAAAGCGCAATAGGTATGACCAATAAGTCAGACAAAACGTATTGAGCATGATCAGAAGTAAAACAATTGAATATGATCAGACGGCAGACAAGGCTTATTGTGTATGATTAGAAGTAAGACAGACTAATTGAATATGATCAGACGGCAGACAAGGCTTATTGTGTATGATTAGAAGTAAAACAATTGAATATGATGCAGACAAGGCTTATTGTGTATGATTAGAAGTAAAACAATTGAATATGAGACAAGGCTTATTGTGTATGATTAGAAGTAAGACAGACTAATTGAATATGATCAGACGGCAGACAAGGCTTATTGTGTATGATTAGAAGTAAAACAATTGAATATGATCAGACGGCAGACAAGGCTTATTGTGTATGATTAGAAGTAAGACAGACTAATTGAATATGATCAGACGGCAGACAAGGCTTATTGTGTATGATTAGAAGTAAGACAGACTAATTGAATATGATCAGACGGCAGACAAGGCTTATTGTGTATGATTAGAAGACAGACTATTGTGTATATGATAAAACAATTGAATATGATCAGACGGCAGACAAGGCTTATTGTGTATGATTAGAAGTAAAACAATTGAATATGATCAGACGGCAGACAAGGCTTATTGTGTATGATTAGAAGTAAGACAGACTAAAACAATTGAATATGATCAGACGGCAGACAAGGCTTATTGTGTATGATTAGAAGTAAGACAGACTAATTGAATATGATCAGACGGCAGACAAGGCTTATTGTGTATGATTAGAAGTAAAACAATTGAATATGATCAGACGGCAGACAAGGCTTATTGTGTATGATTAGAAGTAAAACAATTGAATATGATCAGACGGCAGACAAGGCTTATTGTGTATGATTAGAAGTAAAACAATTGAATATGATCAGACGGCAGACAAGGCTTATTGTGTATGATTAGAAGTAAAACAATTGAATATGAAGACAAGGCTTATTGTGTAATTGAATATGAATCATGATCAGACGGCAGACAAGGCTTATTGTGTATGATTAGAAGTAAAACAATTGAATATGAAGACAGACAAGGCTTATTGTGTATGATTAGAAGTAAGACAGACTAATTGAATATGATCAGACGGCAGACAAGGCTTATTGTGTATGATTAGAAGTAAGACAGACTAACCTTATCGAGTTTGATCAGAAGGAAGACAGACAAAACGTAATGAGTATGCTCAGAAAACAGACAAAACATATTGAGTGCAATTAGAAATAAGACAACTAAGCTTATGGTGTATAATACATACATAAACCCTTGTTCGCATCACTGAAACAAATACCACCCAATACGCATTAGGGTAATTATACAAATGCCAAAAAATAAGCTGATGGGCGATTGTTTACCTATTTAAAGTGCCATATTGAACCATATTGAAGGAGACAATATTTTGTTAAATATATCAAAGTAGGTTATTTCAAGTTGTCAGAGATGATTTGTGACAGGAGTTCCTACGTTTTTAATTTAGAAAGGAGTTCTAGATAGCTTACTCTGTGAGATCATTCGTAAGTTGTGATTACTTATCTAAATATATTGTTGATGTAACAATGGTTTGTTTACATTCAGTGCTTAATTGTTTACACGAGTTCGAATTCATTGTTGGTGGGGAGAGGGGTTCATTCGGTATTTTTAAGAAAAATTCTTACCTCCGCAGAATCCACAGAATTTGCGACATCGAACTTCAGCCCAGGGTCTGTATGGCCCCTCGACACACACTTTATCGAAACCGTATTGTCGACAATTTGATAATTTGTCTTCACAGACTAAAACAAATCATCAAATATACAATGAAATAATATTAAAGTTGGAAATGAATGCATAAAATTAATTAATAACTAGGTATATCGGGTATAATAACAGTCACGGGAAAAAATGACATTTCAGCACCAAAATCAGAAATCTTTCCAAAGTAACAATGTATTTGTCCACTTGGCAATGATTCTTCATTTGGAAAATAAAAATCAACCGAATCACCTACTTACCTTCCGTGACACCTGCAATGGTAATGTCAGAAGTGTCATACTAAGATACTTACATGCAAGACGAAACATCTTATTCATTGTAAGAAATAACATATTGCAAAGCCATGATAATAAATTATCCCGACAAAACACATATCATTTCATTTATATTTAAATATCCTGACGCTGTCTGACGTCAGAACTTAATATATTTACTGTAATTATATTTGAATACACACACACGTTATTTAAGGGTAAGTGTAAATGCAAAGTGATCCTGGAATAAAACAGTGTGGGTTCATGTTCCTTTTTGTCCCCAATCGTGTGATTTAATGTATGTTATACATTGTAATTTTAGCCAATGAACCGGCATTCAAACATCCTAAAAGTAAATATTATGTAATTGTCTACAAAAACAGATATTGTCAAGATTCGTCACGTCATACTTGTCACAACCTTCCACAAACGTGCCAGTACTAAGGACCAAAGTGTCAGACAAACTCTATTTTATCACGAGGCTAATTGTTGGAAATTCGAACATTTTAGAAAATAGTCAATCAATTATACAGAAAGTTTGACAGATGATAAACTTAATTAAGATAGGAGAGAGTGAGAAAAGGAGATAAGATAAACGAAAATATGTAGCAAGCTCAAAATTCATCAAATTCATATTAATCCTTTATCATCAAATGTGGAAATCACAAATACCGGCATTAGTTGTTACAGAGGGGCCAGTTGAAGTAGGTGGTACTGTAACAGGACCAGCTGGTGTCTCAGACGGAGGAACTGTGTCCGGTCCTGAAGAGGGTCCTGTGACTGGTTCTTCTGTTGTTCCTGTCGCAGGTTGTTCTGTGCTTCCTGTGGCTGGTACTTCGGTTGATCCTGTCGGGAGTTGTTCTGTACTTCCTGTAGCTACGACTTCAGTTGAAACCAAACCAGGTTGTTCTGTTGTTACATTAACTGGCACTAATACAATTTATAAGAAAAAAAATCTATAGAAAATATCGCAAAAAAACATTAGTTCGATTTACGTTATGAATTTTTATGATTGGGCATTTAAGTTCTGTAAGCACATCTTCATAATCAAAAGTTATAGGGAGTGAACTGCATATGAAATAAGCAATCCAATACACACATTGATAACTAAAATTGAAGAAAGATATATGACTCACCACTGGAAACTGATGGTGTTGGTACACCAGAATCTGTTGTCAAATCAGGTCCATTTGAAGGTGTTGGTACGCCTGAATCTGTTGTCACGTCTGGAACTGATGGTGTTGGTACGCCTGAATCCGTTGTCACGTCTGGAACTAGTGGTGTTGGTAGGCCTGAATCTGTTGTCATGACTGGCCCATTTGAAGGTGTTGGTACGCCTGAATCTGTTGTCAAATCAGGTCCATTTGAAGGTGTTGGTACGCCTGAATCTGTTGTCAAATCAGGTCCATTTGAAGGTGTTGGTACGCCTGAATCTGTTGTCACGTCTGGAACTGATGGTGTTGGTACGCCTGAATCTGTTGTCCCACTAGGCATTATTGAAGGCGTTGGTATGCCTGAATCTGTTGTCATGATTGGACCTGATGGTGTTGGTACGCCTGAATCTGTTGTCACATCTGGCCCATTTGAAGGTGCAGATACGCCTGAATCCGTTGTCATTTCAGGTCCATTTGAAGGTGTTGGTACGCCTGAATTTGTTGTCACTTCTGGTCCATTTGAAGGTGAAGATACACCAGAATTGGTTGTCATTTCTGGTCCGTTAGAAGGTGCAGATACGCCCGAATCCGTTGTCACTTCAGGTCCATTTGAAGGTGTTGGTACGCCTGAATCCGTTGTCACTTCTGGTCCATTTGAAGGTGAAGATACACCAGAATTGGTTGTCATTTCAGGTCCGTTAGAAGGTGTTGGTACGCCTGAATCCGTTGTCATTTCAGGTCCGTTAGAAGGTGCAGATACGCCAGAATCCGTTGTCACTTCAGGTCCATTTGAAGGTGCAGATACGCCTGAATCCGTTGTCATTTCTGGTCCTTTTGAAGGTGAAGATACGCCTGAATCTGTTGTCACTTCAGGTCCATTTGAAGGTGCAGATACGCCTGAATCCGTTGTAATTTCAGGTCCATTTGAAGGTGCAGGTGTTGATAACCCAGAATCTGTTGTGTTTTCTGAACCGCTGGGTGACTCGGTTGTAACGTTATCAGTTGACGGAGCCATTTCGGTAGAGGTGGGACCCATTTCTGTTGTAGTTGGGGTTTCAGGGGGAGATTCGGTTGAGGTTGCTGGTGGAGCCTCGGTAGAAGTTGTCGTTGGAGGGGCAGGCCCTTTTTCGGTGGTAGTTTTTACTGGTCTGACTGGAAACGCTAAAACATTTTAAACATATCGTTAATAATCAGACTTCAAACAGCAGACAACAACATTTAAATACGAACGTTGGAGGAGGTCTGCTGTCTGTGATAAATTTAATATCATCTGATTATATCATTGCTTGTTAAAAGGAATATTTCATTTCTAGTTTTGAATTTGAATTCATCCTAAATTTGTATCAAAAGGTGCTATTCACTTGTATGTTTTTTATGTGTTTTGTATGTGGTTTAGAAAACTTGCGGTTTCTGGCGTAAATATTACCCGTTCATTATAACACTCAATCAAATTAAAAGATGTTCTTCGCTTTACCTGGTTCAACTATTTCCGCGCCAGTTCCCTCATTTTCGGGGGAGGGAAGTGCTGGAGGGGGTTCCAGAGTAGTAGGCGCCTTCGTGGATGGAGGACTCTCCGTGCTGGTCTGGGTGGTAGGGGGTTTCTCTGTCATAAAGCCATTTGGTTCTGCTCCTGTACCGGCTTGCCTCTTCAACGCTTGATTCAATTGATGATAAAGTTATAACTATTTTATAATATTATACACGGGCAGAGCGTCAACGATTACTAATACATGAATATTTTTAGTATAAAGTATATGAAAAAAATAAGAAATACCGCCATGCTATTCAAAAATAAAACATTCTTTTTCTATAAAGGTTACATACCTACGTTTATAACCATTGAACGTACTAATTAATGTATAATCCTATATAAACATGCTTCACGAATTAGTAAGAAAATAAAAAAAAAAAAAAATGAAATATCCTTACTCGTGACTGCTTCACCTAATTTTATTTTAATTAAATAGATTTATTTTTATCATTAAAAATTCATATAGAAATTATTTCAAAAATAAACTTCAAGATATTTTAAATAGCATCGAACGATCGAGCGAATATCACATGGGGTAAGTGTGGTGTTTGTACATTGAATTCGACAAAGACGATTGTCCTTAGTCACCATACAGAGTTCATCACTTCAGACCCGTATCATCTGTGACTTTTAAGTACGGAGCACTATTTCTTGTTCTGTTTTACAAGTGCACAGTTTCTATCTTTCAATTTTATTGAGAGGTAATATTCACTAAATGCATGTATCTGATCCGCTCTTTGTATATCGCAGTCACAATTAGGCCTAACACTCATTATTAAAAAGGTTTTTATCACATAAACACTACAACCTTTCCAAATAGTGATATCCAGTGGGATTTAATATATCTTAAGTTTACCACATTAAGAATAACTATATTCTGGTCTCATGAAATAAAATCATTAAAAAATAAAATTTGTTACCATTTCTAATATGTAGAGTTGGTAAAAATCGCGGGTATCTAATTTCGCTACTTTCCCAATGATCAAAGACAGCGCGAAATCACATTCGAAGCAATCATTTGACGGATAATCATAACTCAGGAAATGTATGTTTCCTGTATAACCAAATAGCAATGTATTGACATTGACACAAAACTTAATCCTGGTGAATTAGCCCAAACTATAATGACCGCGAAATATTAGCCAACGAAACTGTAAAAAATAAATAAGTAACCCAACATGTACATATTGTTTTGAACATATAGAGTAAACACTTCAAAACACTTCTTAAATATAATCTGAACACTTATATATCTCGCGTTTAAATTTCAGATATACTGTATTGCATTGATCATTTTCTAGGCATGTTAATGTAGTATGGCTTTGTGAGATAGTTTTGTTCTGATTTCATGACTGTTTTAATGTTCTGTATAAGGTTTACTTACATCGCAGAGCAGGAACATTTCTCTTTCCGGGAAGGTTCGGTACGGCGAATCCTGAAAACAAGAAGAAAATGTATTAAACATAACCACTTTGTAAAGAAGGGTTTATCTTTAACCCTAAACAAGGTCTCTTTGAGTGTCATAACTTAAATAATCAATGTTTGCTAACACACACGCGAGCAGCGATTTGATATACATTCTAATTGCTTCAGTTATGACCTCACAAATTCTTGGTGTATTTAATGGGAAGGGAATCTGTTCTTATCATACTGAAATAGCAATACAATCTCCATAGTGGAATATTCGTTTACGGATCATGTGGGATTAATGAAATTAATCTATTTCATAAATTCATTTCGCATAGTATCAGGACAACGAAATAATGAAGCTTTTATTGTAGGTCTGCTAACGTCAGAATAACAAGATCACAGAACGCAAATGAATACTGGCACGTAAGTCTATGTCCGCAAATGAGAGTGGATAGTAAAAGAAACTAATTCGAAGAAAGGTTAAAAGTATCTGTAGGTTATAAGGTATCACCATATAATGATGTAGAGGTTTTAAAAAGAAGTTTTTTGTAGTTGATCAGATGTGAGCGCAATGTGAATGTATTTAAGATGTTAAGTAATGGGTTAGATATTATTGTCCATCTGTATATCGATATAATTAGCGTGTGTCATCACACAAACTGTTCTTTTCTGGAAAATACTTACAATTAATGTATCTATTGGTAGAAGTACACTGGTCATTACAAAACATTCAATGTTGATGTGTACATCAAAAGATTGCCAAATGAATACAAACGTGAATAACATTGAAATAAAATTGATTTGTAAACATCACCGAACAAGCGAGATCAGGTATGCTTTATTAAGATTTCGATACAAATGCTTTTGAAGATGACCCAATTGATTAATGAAGAATTACAAGTAAACACACCAATTAGGCAATATTTCTAATTTTAAAATAAAGCTAAATTTGTTAACGTCAACAAGCAGCAGGTAAAAAGCTTGATATAATGGGTTGTCAAGCAAACAGTTCAAATAAAGCTGGATACATATCGTTCATCAAGCTAGCGAAGTGGATTACATATAAAAAAAGCTCGTTGTACAGGATCAAGAATACTTTTCTAAAACAAAGCTATTCGTATATGGTCAACAAATATATTACAATGCTCACAAGAAAGCCTGAAGAGTAAATACCAGCGATTTGATGATTTGTTACATGTAACTATTGTAGGTATCATTTCTAAGACATATTTTCATCACCACAAGGGGCAATATTTTAAGTATATATATTTGATACTATGTTGACATTTGGTGGAATGTTTGCTAGTAATCAAGGGGCAAATAGCCGAACAGGATAACCTCGTCCTGCGAAGTCACTAAGCATTGCCATGAACCAAGTAAACAGCGCCAACGTCATAACATCAAAAACGTATTGACAGCTTTTTAGCCAATCAGTTCACAACACAACGTTGCTTCACAATATGATAAAAAAAGGACCAGCATCTCAAAGCGGCATCATTTAATAACATAGCTAAGCAGCAGGATCCGAGTCGATCATAAAGATGGATGTTGACCTGGTGCTGATGTTGCTGGGATAGGATTGTTAAAAGACGGCGTTACAGCACCCGTTCCTGAAAACACAATCTATAGGTATCAGTTTCTAACACATGTAATATTTCATTTACGAATTACTTGAATGATCTTTCTAATGCTATCAGAATATATCGGAAATGCCATGGTTACTTTCAGATATAATACGGAGTTTTAGTGATAACAATAAACTTATGACAGTAATTGCATATTTAGTGAAGCGCAAAGCAGACTTACCTATAATTCACAAGCTGCATATCCAGCAATGAGTAGCTTAATCAATAAGTTAGCGGTTACCATGAGAAATGCGCGCGATTACAATTAGAAGCAAAAACCTGTTTGATCTTCCATCACAATACCCGTAAAGGCGTAAAATGACAGAAGTTCTTAATTGACTGAAATAGCGTTTGGATTAATTTTTTTTGTATTTATATAACCGCTCTCAAATAAATAATAATAACATAACACTTATTCAATTAATCAAATTTCAATCATTCATAGACCAAATAACATTCAAATCACACAGTACTTGTAAAATGATATGCATGCCATACAACTGTAAAGAACACCAATACAACTACACCAACGGTACGGCGTAATCCACGAAAATAGCTGTACAAACATACCGACAAACAATACATCTCAGGATATAACAAAAACGTGAAACCATACACTATCTCTACAGCAAAATCAACATCATACAACACTTTAATTATATACATTTCATTACAAGCAACACAAAAGTATATATCGAACTGCAATCACCATAAAAAATCTAAAATTAAATAACCAACAGATATGTTATCAACAAGATAGTATAAACGCTATTAACCAAACAATATAAAGCAAATCAAATCCATTACAGAAATATTGTAGAGCTAACAGTATTAACAAACTCCAACACACAATAGAAAATACAACACTGTAATATTGTGTAGCTTATCATAAAACAAGACTCCATTAAATTATGTAGCAACTTTATTTAGGTAACTATATAAAAAAAAACACCACACAGGCTAAAATAACTTTAAGCCATCAAACCACTTAATAACCTTTAAAAATGTAAATAACAATATCAAAGAATTTAAAACCACTTAAATAAACACTCCGTCACCAAACAAATACATTACTATTTCATCCATAAATTTCTATACAAAATTCCACGCTAAACAATGAAAACTCATGACATTAAGATCAACGATTTACAAACAATGGAAAGCCATACCACTACAACATAAACAGTAGAATATTGTCAGGCACAACTAACGATTTAAAAATATAAAACATACAATATGATATAAATCTACCAGGAAAAGTTATGTACCCAGTACAAAACTATATATTGTAGCTCACCTCCGCTACCGCCACAAAAGCCACAGTGTTTCCTACAGTTATCCATGGCCCATATATGGTACTGAGAGTCTGTACAGGCTGATTGTTCATACTGATCACAGCTGCTGATATTGTCGACACAAGCTGGTGGAGGGGTTGGCACACCTTTCAATAGGACATGTGATATATATGTAGTCTATTGCTGATATATAAAAGTAACCCTTTCTCAGATGGGTCCAAATAATAATAATTATAATGCAAACACTTCCCCAGAATGACACACAATGGACGCCATCGATGATTTGTAGATTCATTGTAGAAAAAAGAAAACAATATCCCAACTGCTATTCAATAACTCCTTTATAACTTAAGGTAAAAAAAGTGATTTTTTTCAAATGTGTTATATTTCTGCTTTAGGTGATCTTCTTGGAATTTGGTGAACTGATAATGATTTGTAAGTGATTCTGAACTCCCCTATTGCTGCAAGGAAACTTTATACGCTTTCCTTTGTCTCCTGTTTCTCTGTGTCATATATTTTGCACCAACGTCCTATGAAATATATTTGAAATGCAAAATGTTTTCAACGGCTGCCTACGAAATCGATTAGGCTAGGGGCCGCTTGTTTTAGGGATAAGAATTCTTGATTATATGTCAATGAAAGTTGAACTGCATAGTCGGTAATGAAACAAAAACAAACTCACCAGCACAGAATCCACAGTAATTCATACAGTTCTCTTTAGCCCAGCCCTTGAAGTTACCCGAACAGGAACTCTGGCCGTATAACCGACAGTCCACCTTGTCCACACATTCTAGACATTGGGAAAATATCATCTGTATTTATCACTATAACCGTTAGAAAAATCGTAAGGCTGATGGTATGAGAATGGCATCAAGTTGTTTATTTGTTATCATTATGTTATGTTGACAAATTTGATACAGAAATAGCTAAACCTTCAGTGTGAAAAATGAAACATTATGACATTCATATATTGTTGTTGACATATTTTAACATATTCATTGTTCAGACTGCCACGTTTCCCTATAATTTTGTCTAATAAGTATTTTTTATTAGGATGTAATATATAAATGTGTTGTAAACACCAATGCCATTAACTTATTATTTTCAATATATTGCTGAGGAACTCTTACGAAATTAAAAAACCTTCTGCGTGTTATAAAGAAAGAAGAAAGTTTTTAAAGATTACCGACGTGTACGGCAAATTCAAAAATTAACTTCAACACATTCGATGTGGACTATATACGGAAATTGATCACGATAAGTAAAACGCACAAAGTTTACACAGTACTTACTTTCGGGTGCGATAGTCGTGGTCATTAAGTCCGCCATTTGAAGTTGCTGAACTGTTGAAAAAAACGATATCATGTTACTCATTCATATTCTGTTCACTTTTCCTTAATTGATTGTGAAGTATTTAAAATGTTATTGTCAAATTATAGCGTCAATATCAGTCGGTGTATTATGTACGTTCAAGAAGTTAGGACAGTATTGTTGTATTTACTGAAAACGTCCGTCAGTAAACAGTTGTACATGTTTTGTTCAAGATTGACCCTGCATGCAAATTCCCGATACCAATTCTAGATAGTTTTTCCTAACAGCTACGGCTAGGTTGTACCATGTACAAACTCGTACATAAAAGTTCTCATACCATGTTTGGCAAATAAAGGAATTTATAAACTGAAGAAAAAAACTTTTCAATGCTTAACACAACCGTACATTTCAACAACAAACATCGAAGTAGATATAAACATCGTCCCCTTTTCATCATGAAATTTAAGGACAAAACAAAATACAAACTGTCTTGTAATGATACAATATTATGAAATAACAAAGCTTGCGTCATCCTGTTTTCAACACCTTCACATAAAACTGGGAATCAAAGAAAACAATAAACGACGCCATCATAAAGCGAGTATGTAAATCACATCTCCCTCTGATTTCAACACTTTTCTTAATATTTTCAATATATCCCTGTACAATTTCAACATTTTCCTCTAAAAGTTCAATATTTCCTTCAACATTTCCCTCTACGTTTTCAGCATTTCCCTCTTCATTTTCAGCATTTTCCTCTACATTCTCAATATTTCCCTTTACTTTTGCAGCAATTCCCTCTAAATTTGCAGCAATTCCCTCGACATGTTAAACATTTCCCTCTTCATTTTCAACATTTCCCTCTACATTTTCAGCATTTTCCTCCACATTTTCAATATTTCCCTCTACTTTCCTTCTTCATTTCAACATTTTCCTCTACGTTTTCAGCAATTTCCTCTACACTTGCAGCAATTCCCTCGACATGATCAACATTTCCCTCTTCATTCTCAGCATTTTCCTCTACATCCTCAATATTTCCCTCTACATTTTCGACATTTTCCTCTACATTCTCAATTTTTCCCTCTACTTTCCTACTTCATTTCAACATTTTCCTCTACGTTTTTAGCAATTTCCTCTGCATTTGCAGCATTTCCCTCAACATTGTCGACATTTTCCTCTACGGTTTAAACATTCCCTTTACATTTGAAACATTTCTTATTGCATTTTTATCGTTGTTCTCTGCAATTTCAACATCTTCATCTGAATTTCCGTAATTTTCTTTGCAACGCCCCTTTTTACATTTGTAACATCTTCCACTACATATGGTCAACACTTATTTCTACATCATCAATGTTGCTCTCTACATTTCTAACATTTACCTCTATATTTTCCTCATTTACCTGTACATTTGCGGCAGAAATAACGACAGTTTTCCTGGGCCCATGTTCCATACTGAGGGTCATTACATACGTTCTGTCCGTACGCCTCACAGTTCTGAAGCTTGTCCACACAAGCTGGCGCGGGTGTGGTCGGGCCTTCAAACAACGATCAATCAACGATGTTAGGTTTGAGATGATTCAAAATTGGCAATGAAATACAACTGTCACTATAAAGACAGACTATTGTGAAAATAACGAATTTGTAATGCAGAAAAAACACACTTTTTTACTTCGAAGTTTTGGTAGAGTCACAAGAATATGATACTTATAGTGCATTAAGTTGAAATGACATATTGCTTACCGTTACAGAATCCACAAAAGTTACGACAATTGTCTTGAGCCCACTTGTCGTATGGAGGTACACATGACTCTTTACCGAATGCCACGCAGTTCGCTTGTTTATCTACGCAATCTGTCATTCAAGCAGTGCATATTTATAGACTTACGTAACTTAACTATTTAGACAAGTTGGAGAAATACAAATTGTGCAGATATATTGCAAAACAAATATCAAACATCAGTAACTTATAACATCGATAACCTCATTCATTTAGCATATCAATCTATTGAGTAAATACTGATACAATAATGTTATATAACATGCTATCAGACTAGATAATTCACCCTAACCAATACACATTACGGAGAATTCAGAATCATTTTATCATTTTTCGAGTCTAGAAATGTACCTTCATGGCTCTGAATTTACTTCCTCCTTCCTCAAAAGTTTCTTTGTTTCTATTTGTTTCTTACATTGTTTCTATTTGTTTCATGCCAACAGCAAATACAACAATAGCCTAATCCCGATTTAATCTCATATTAAGTGTTACAATAGGTTTTGTCAATTATGAAGTGTCTATGTATGGATTGTTGTGAAAACGATGAAAACAACAAAGTAATCAACACCAACGATACATGCAAAGGCACAAACCACATGCATATACATCCTGAAATCGTCGCGACTTTTTACCTTTACTCACCTTTTATGAAAATCCTCTTTTTTGTGTAAAAATCACGTTTGTTTCGACTTGGTTTTCTTTGCGTCACCAATAAAGCGAAAATCCCGAAAGACAATTCACGGGAGATCACCCGGTGATCATGCGCGACACACGAGTCTGATAAAGATCGAGTTTCTAAAAGCGCGGTAAGAAATTTCACATTTAATACAACCACTTGACAAACAGACACATATCCTATCACCACTGTACATAATGACACCATGCTGGCTTATATGGGATTTCTATATTAAGTCTGAGTTCACAGGAAAGCAACATTCCTTGCGAAACCATATCTACAAATAAGACAAGAGTGTAAGTCGCCCAAAGCGTAATAAGCAATGATCGTCAACAGTGTGGCGTTTACCAAATGAAGTACATTATGTATTTTCCTGTTGACAAGTTATTTTATACATTGTAGTGGACCTGAGATTACAATAGGGTGATAAACTTTAACTAAAACAAGATGTAAGAAAAGTATATGACATTGACCTCTAGTCTAGATATCGGTCTTTTTAGAGCAAGTGATAAGAGACACAATGTAGAGGGCAATGTATACATCATTTCCGGTAATGACCTGACCACCGATTTAACACGTATTCAGTTCAATTTACTCTTTTTTTTCATCATGAAATTGCATCATTTTCTGTTAACACTTGTGTTATGAAAATTGTTCATTTAAAATTACTTTTCGGGATTTTCTATCAGTCAAAATAATAGCTTAAGTTACATCCAGTCATTAAGGTGAATTTTGTTATAATTTTGGAAGCATTGAATAACTCGAATTTCTTGGGAACATGTTTCATCAAATAGAGGAATACGATTTCGAATCAAGCAAGGTTTACTGTATATTTATCTACCAAATTTCTGTAAAACCTCATCACGACTTTATCACTTTATTACTTTATTAGTGTCACGAGCATATGTTCAATGTTCCAAAAGATAGCTACTTTACCTTACACAGCTGTTATGCTCGATTATGTCATTACAATTGCTACCCTTTGCTTTCAGGTCCGATACAATGGGACAATCCGTGATTTTTATTTCATTTTAAAATATTTCTTTGGTTTATATAAGAAATTATATGCCATGTCCTATACTAACTTACAGACGATTGGTGATAATGGTAATTCTATACACGACATTTATTTTCTAATTTATTATTATTTTCTTAATACCCTATGTCAATTCAGACGCCACATGCTGTTTAACAGCTTACGCTGATTCACTCAATACTCAAGTAAACTGGGGAAAGTCAGAATTTGTTAGCAAGCAGGAAAGCGAAAGCAGATCATACACCTGTCACCAATATTTTCAATGAAAATGAACTCTAAATATTGAATGATGAGAAAACTGATAGAAGAACTATTAGCATACTTATATCTACTCCGCCACTATTCAGTTGAGGTGCTGGCGTCTGAGTTCCAAAAAACAGCGAAAATCCACCATCGTCTCGTTTGTTGTCGGGAGCAACAGCAAGCGTTCCCGCTAAACACAAAACAGAGATACACAAAAAGGACAACATAATTTGTTCGTCGAAATTGACAGGGATCTACACAGTACACCGCACACTGTAGACCGACCAATGCCGACTACGAAAAAGGACAGGATTTTTAATTCTTCAGTGCCACCACAGCTTACTAGGGCGAGCGATAAGATAAGGAGGCGCCACCTGTCGGATTCCCGAACACAAACCAAACTTTGGTGGCTGTACGATATGACACGGTCATCGCAGACTTGGTGTTCTGATGAATTTAGGCAAAACTGGGGCCATATATTATTTGAAATACGGTTTTAGTCTGTGTACTTAAAATCATATCAATTATTTAGATGGTCGCGCAACCAGAATGATCATAAATAAGCATAGTCACTTCCGAAATATTACAATTCAATGTAGAATTATCATTTGTCATAGAATAAACCATGGTCATAATTTGTTTTCTGAATTTGGAAAAAAATAAAAAAAAAAAAAAACAATCATTGAAATCATCAATTTTGGACAATGAAAGCGAATGAATAGGATTAATCGTGAAGAGAACGAAGGCATTATTGAGTTTAACTATGACAATAACAACAAATTAACGAAAAGTTCAATGATGTACTTGAATATTATTTTTAGAAATATAAAGTAATATTTAAATTATCCCTATAACTAAATTCATTTTTGCGTATATATTCTTATTGACAAAATTTGAGTATAAAGCTTGTTACAAATATGGTATGCGTCTCTTTGAGTATGGATAGATTAATTAGGAAAATATATGGTTTAGATTTTATGAAGTTTTCATCGACAAAAACAGAAACAAAACAAATCAATAAAAAAACTCCCAAAAAAACAGAATCTTCATTTTAGCTTGAGGTCGATATAACGCATTGCTATTTGAATTTTTTTGAGATTTGAAAATTAAAGAATTAACATCTTTAATTCAACAAAGTGAGGACCGAAACCAGATATTTTGGAACACGTGGCCTAACAGTGGTAATGACGTTATCAACCGTCGTACATCGTCGTCTAGTTATCTACTGCACCGAGAAGTCATACTGACTGATTTTAACTTGTTCTTTCATATGTCCTTGATCACTTCACAATTCTACACTTCCATTGATTCCTCGGCTGACTTCTCTCTCAATAAATAATATTCTCATTGATGTACTCTCATTCTTCTTTTAACCATCTCCTTTTCCTTTCTTATGGTCATATGTTTAATTTTTTTCTTTCCTGTGATTCCACTTTTCCATTCCATACCACGTACCCGTCTTATTATTTTGATTCTGCTATTCAAGTCCTGTTTTCGATACATTCTTAACCTGTACTTTCCTGTTTTACTTTTTCATCCTGACCATGCTCTGTATTTTTCGTCACACATTCTTCGATATATAATGCAATTGTATCTGCATTAGTGGAAGCAGTAAAGATATACAAAGAAAAATAATAATACATCACAATACAAAATAATGAACAATCGATATGAACATTTCCAAACTGTGTTCAAGGAAATGACTTGTGAAGGGGTAAGCACTCATTATCATTACTTCTCTATCATCTTGCTTTAAAGCTACTGCCTCCAGCTACCAGAAAATGCATATTTTCATTGTCTTCTTCTCTAGGAAGCTGCGTGATGGACGTGCTCAAAATATCTAAAATCTCTTGACAGCATTCATCTGTTATGCTTACCGATTAAATTTAAAATTTACCCCGCCCTAACTGCTCAACTTATATCCGTTTCCATAATTCCAGTCCTTTCTATCTTCTCTAGATATCCTTCACCATCCAACTCCTCTCCCTCTCTTAATTCATGTCTGTACCCTTTCTACCTCTTGTCCATATCCCTAACTGTTGAACTGTTGATGTCAAACTCATCTGTCACTCCCTTAATCTCAGCCCTATCTACCTCCCCCCCCCCCTCCTTGATGTTCCCTAACTGTCCAACTCATCTCCCTTTCACTCTCGTAGTCTCAGTCCTTTCTACTTCCCCTTGGTGTCCCTAACTGTCCAACTCATCTCCCTCTCACTGTTTTTATCTCAGTCCTATTTATCTTCCCTCCATGTCCCTAACTGTCCAACTCATCTCCCTCTCACTGTTTTAATCTCAGTACTATTTATCTTCCCGCGATGTCCCTAACTGTCCAACTAATCTCTCTCTCACTCTCGTTATCTCAGTCCTATTTATCTTCCCTCGATGTCCCTAACTGTCCATTTCATCTCCCTCTCACTGTTTTAATCTCAGTCCTATTTATCTTCCCTCGGTGTCCCTAACTGTCCAACTCATCTCCCTCTCATTGTTTTTTTCTCAGTCCTATTTATCTCCCCTCGGTGTCCTTAACTGTCCAACTCATCTCCCTCTCACTCTCGTTATCTCAGTCCTATTTATCTTCCCTCGGTGTCCCTAACTGTCCAACTCATCTCCCTCTCACTCTCGTTATCTCATGTCCCTACTGTCCAACTGTCCTAACTGTCCAACTCATCTCCCTCTCACTCTCGTTATCTCAGTCCTATTTATCTTCCCTCGATGTCCCTAACTGTCTAACTCATCTCCCTCTCACTGTTTTTTTCTCAGTCCTATTTATTTTCCCTCGATGTCCCTAACTGTCCAACTAATCTTCCCCTCACTCTCGTTATCTCAGTCCTTTCTTCCCTCGATGTCCCTAACTGTCCAACTCATCTCCCTTTCACTCTCGTTATCTCAGTCCTATTTATCTTCCCTCGATGTCCCTAACTGTCCAACTAATCTTCTCCTCACTTTCGTTATCTCAGTCCTTTCTTCCCTCGATGTCCCTAACTGTCCAACTCATCTCCCTCTCACTCTCGTAGTCTCAGTCCTTTCTACTTCCCCTCGATATCCCTAACTGTCCAACTAATCTCTCTCTCACTTTCGTTATCTCAGTCCTATTTATCTTCCCTCGATGTCCCTAACTGTCCATCTAATCTTCTCCTCACTCATGTTATCTCAGTCCTTTCTTCCCTCGATGTCCATAACTGTCCAACTCATCTCCCTCTGACTTTCGTTATCTCAGTCCTATTCATCTCCCCTCGGTGTCCCTAACTGTCCAACTCATCTCCCTCTCACTCTCGTTATCTCAGTCCTATTTATCTTCCTTCGATGTCCCTAACTGTCCAACTAATCTTCTCCTCACTCTCGTTATCTCAGTCCTTTCTTCCCTCGATGTCCCTAACTGTCCAACTCATCTCCCTCTCACTCTCGTAGTCTCAGTCCTTTCTACTTCCCCTCGATGTCCCTAACTGTCCATCTAATCTTCTCCTCACTCTCGTTATCTCAGTCCTTTCTTCCCTCGGTGTCCCTAACTGTCCAACTCATCTCCCTCTCACTGTTTTAATCTCAGTCCTATTTATCTTCCTTCGATGTCCCTAACTGTCCAACTAATCTTCTCCTCACTCTCGTTATCTCAGTCCTTTCTTCCCTCGATGTCCCTAACTGTCCATTTCATCTCCCTCTCACTGTTTCGTTATCTCAGTCCTATTTATCTTCCCTCGGTGTCCCTAACTGTCCAACTCATCTCCCTCTCACTCTCGTTATCTCAGTCCTATTTATCTTCCCTCGATGTCCCTAACTGTCCAACTCATCTCCCTCTCACTCTCTTTATCTCAGTCCTATTTATCTTCCCTCGATGTCCCTAACTTTCCAACTCATCTCCCTCTCACTCTCTTTATCTCAGTCCTATTTATCTTCCCTCGATGTCCCTAACTGTCCAACTAATCTTCTCCTCACTCTCGTTATCTCAGTCCTTTCTTCCCTCGATGTCCCTAACTGTCCAAATCATCTCCCTCTGACTTTCGTTATCTCAGTCCTATTTATCTTCCTTCGATGTCCCTAACTGTCCAACTAATCTTCTCCTCACTCTCGTTATCTCAGTCCTTTCTTCCCTCGATGTCCCTAACTGTCCAACTTGTCTTTGTATTTTCATTTCCTGTCAATATTCCTAACTGACCAAATCCCCTTCTGCTATCCCATTTCTCTCCGTAATTTGTTACTCTATTCCCTTTGTTTCATCCCTTTTCCTCTCACAACCACTACTACACTTTTTTCACAAAATCATGATTCGTTTATGTTTGATAATCTTCAGTTATGGAATATGTTCATTTCATGAAATAAGCCCAAAATATTTACTTTATTTAAGACTGCACTTTCAATATTATTGTCACCTATTAGATGGCCTTGCTTCGGTCATTCATAAATCCAAGTCATATTATGTACCTAGTACCTTAGAAATTTATCCATTTTAAATAACGTCATTTGCTGTAATCAGTTGTGGTTTCACTACATATGTAAATATTGCACAGTATCGTACACTTACCGACCTTTGTAATCGTGACTTTTCTGTTCAGCTTGCGGCTGGTCGCCGGTGTTTCCTTGTGCGTAGTAACGTGCCGTAGATGTTGATACGTTTGTTGCGTTGTCATCGAACTCGGTCTTTTCAAGAACTAAAATCGCCAAAAAAATATGATCCATGAAAAAGTGGTCTTAACATTATTTGAGGTAAATTCCGCATTTTACTCATAAAACAACAAAGAAAATATCGACATATCAACAGAATCTCCGACAAACGGCAAAATAACAACAAAAAAGTTTTACACGAATATGTTTGGAAAAAATATCATCAGAAAAGGATCAGGTGTTCAGCAAGGGTAAGTGTCTTTTCATCATAGACTATATAATGCCAATGTTAATCTAGATCACTCCAAGTATGTTATATCACATTTCTAAATGAGAATCAACAGAGACATGTACGAACCATATGGTTTGGAAGCTTGGGAGTTCAACTATCAAGAAACGGAAAGCGCACAACAGAAAAATCGAAATCATCCTGCTTAACGCACGGCTTATTGAAAATCTATTCCTTTCTATTTTAGTTGTAGTTAAAAATCGAGGTTGATGAAGAGTCTGTCGTGTTTTCTATTTCAACTCTAGCGGGTATGGGGATCAAGTGGTCAATACATTCATAATTCATTAAATTTAGGTTTTTATTGATATATCTAAAAATTAAATCGAAGGACTTCCCAAGGTC